GCCACCCACGGGAGAGGGGACAGGCACCTCACACCCACGGGAGAGGGGACAGGGCCACTCACAAGAGAGGGGACACCCACCTCGCACCCATGGGAGAGGGGACAGGGCCACCCAGAGGAGAGGGGAAAGGGCAGACTATGGGAGAGGGGACAGGGCACCTCGCACCCACGGGAGAGGGGACAGAGCCACCCACGGGAGAGGGGACAGGGCAGCCCACGGGAGAGGGGACAGGGCACCAGAAAGCACAGGGGACTCCCCTGCACACCCCAAGTGCCTCCGTTCAGACTTTCAGGACTCCCGCACACTTCCCGCAGGGGAAGGAGGACTCTGCTCCCCCGTCCTCCTGCTTCAGGGACCAGGACACCTCCCTGTCCTGGGAGCCGTGTCCTCCTGTGGGACCAGCGTCTCAGCCCGCGGGGGTGGGGACCTGCAGGAACAGGCACGGGGTTTCCAGGCTGGTGTGAGCAGTGATGTTACCCCATCTCTTGAATCTCTCCTCCGCTCTAACACTCGCATCTGCCTCGCGGCGCTCTGGGTGCTGAGTCGAATGGGAACCAGGTGGGAAGGGGCGAGATGAGTTGTGCCAAGGGCTGCCGGGGGCCGGCGAGGGAGCCTGACTCATCCCGTGCCCGCGCCGGCTCCCCTCCAGCCCCGGGGTTCCTGGCAGAAGCCATTCCCGCAGGGGAGACGTGGTGCCCGTGGTCACGGGCCTTCCCACGCCTCGGGAAACAGCTTCCTGTGCCTGCGCTGCTCTGCGGGGAGGTGGGTGTACGTGCTGGTGCACACGTGGGTGAGACGGGCGTCAGCGCTGGGAGAGGGTCAGGCTTAGCGTAGGGTCCCAGACAACCCCTTCACTCCCAGCTGGCTCCTGAACATTATTCCTCGATGCCGCTGCTGCCAGGGGGGGTCTGTCCCTCCCTTCAGCGAGGAGCCTGGCTCAGCCGTCCTTTCAGGAGGAAGAGGGATTTCACCTGGTGTAGGGCAGGGATGGAGCTGTCTGGCACCAAGCACCTTGCAAAGGGCTGTGCTGGAGCAGGGCTGGTAGTGTGACCCCTGCCCATCCCAGCAGCAGGGCATGGGCCAGGTGGGCTTTGCCCTCTGGGCTCACTGGGCTGCCCTGGCATGACGCTGGTGTCGGCTCTTCCATCACTGCTGCAGAGCCATGTGTCGCTGTGTGGGGAAACCCGGCTCCTCCGCCCGGCCCGCAGTCCGATGGGTCTCCTTTCGCAGCGCGCTGGGTTTCCTTTCTAGCTCTGAGTCAGAGAAAGTCACCTCTCGCGGGGAGGAGAGATGAGGCTCCCAAGAGCTGGCGGGCTGCTCGGGGCTGCAAAGCCTCGAAATGAATAAGCAGCGACACAGTGCCCGGCCCCAGGCTTTCCTGCAGAGTGCGGGGATGGGGGCATGGCCGCGTGGCACAGAGGACACATGGGGCCACACGGGTGTATGAGCCAGCCACGCTGGCAGGGGCTTGCTCTCCCTACTGAGCTTGTCCGTGCCCCCTTTGCTGCAGAGCAAAGCCTGGCTGCCCTGCCTGCGCCTGCTCGGGGTGCGGGACCGTGGCTAACCCGAGGTCTGTCTACAGCGCGGCTCTCTCTGCCTGGGAGGAGGAGGAGGCGGTGATGCCAGCGCTGCGGCTCTGAGCGTCAGGAGCTGGGGGAGTCCTGGTTCGGGGAGGGGGAGAGGGGCGGCAGGTAGGACCCCCCCCTGGCCTAGCCAGCATTGGGCCATGCTCGCCCTCACCCTGGCAGCCCGCAGCCATCCCGCTCGGTGCTGCCGCGGCCAGCCTGGCACCCTGCCGCACTCGGGGCGGCGCAGGAAGCCGCTCTGCCTCCCACGCGGGGCCGCAGGAAGCCACTCTGCTCTCTGCACCGTGCCAGCGAGGAGGGGATTTCCAGCTGGCTGTGCCTCTGCTGGGGCAGCGCCCTGGCCCCCCCTGCACCCCTCATCTGAGCAAGTCAGGGGCCGTGTTCCTGGAAAAGGGCCCGGGACTGATCGACGGAGGATCCGCATCTCCTCTTTCTGCCTTGGGAAGCGGGGCAATGGCAAGGGGTCATTGCACAACCTCTCTCAATGGCTTGCACAGATTACATCCAAGGCCAGGAGATAATCGTAGCCGCTGGCTCGTTAGCCAGCCCCAGCCTGATGGGATAAGCCTTTATCAGCCGGGGATTTTCATCTCGTCCGACAGCCGCGGAGTGACGCACAGGACCCACGGGATCTAATTACCCTGGCATCAGCGAAGATGCTCTGGAGCCGGTTTCCCCGCTGTGCTGCTCCATGTGCAGAGGAGGCAAAGCTGCTCAACCCTTAAACTTTTCATGCCAAAATGGGCTTCAAAAGGAGTCAAACATTAACTCGCAGCTAACCCTGCCCTTGCCTGGGTTTTTCCAGTTGTGTGAACCAGATCTTCCAAAATAAATACATATTGCTGTGCCGTGGAGCTGGGCTGGAGGTGCCATTGCTCAGTGTTTGGCCTCGCCATGGGTTTACAGCATGAACAGGAAAACCCTGGGTGTAAATGCCTCTGCCCAGCATGTCCCGAGGCTCTCAGTGCTCCCAGCAGGCTCCTGGACCCGGTTCTCCCAGACCCGGTGAGTAGAGAGGCTGCAGTGAAACAGGCTCCACGTGAGTGCCTGCCTGCTGCTGCCCGACCTCTCCTGGAGCAGACCCTGTCCCCACAGAGAGCCCTGCTATGGCACCCGGGTTTCTGGCCTGTCTTATAACCTTCCTGCAAGGCAGCAGGGCGGTCCACTGTCCAGGCGTGCCGGTGTCCCCAGCCCACTCCTTCCTGGGCTGCAGAGAGCGGCCAGCAGCAGCCTCCAAACCTGCCCCACGCCGGTACCTTCCTCCTCAGCGTCCCCCTTCTGATCCGGCCATCGCAGGGGAGTCAGACCGCGCCCCAGGCAGACCACGGAAAATAGGTGTTTATTACTGGGGGGACATAGAAAGTCCTTAAGCAAAATGGCTTAAGGCCCTGCTTTAGTGAGGTCTGGCCAGGTTAAATGCTTAGTTCCCACCTTTTAAAGATTGTGCCCTGGGATGGGTGGGAATGGGGTGCAATGGACTCCTAAAGCTACAGTGCTCGCTCAGGGCTTGTGCTTGGCCGGGCTGGAGCTGGACCCTCGCCTGGGAGCCGGTGCAGTGGCATTACCTGCTAATGCACCCGCATGTCCCTGCTCTGCAGCCGCCTCGGCTCTGGGAGCTTGTGCTGCTGGTGGGAAAACTGCTCCAAGGGGAGCGCCGGCTCTCCCGCGCTCTGTGTACCCTGAGGCCCGTGCAGCGGGTACCCAAGTGCTAAAGCTGCTGCTGGCATCACCTGGGTGCTGGCCCTGTGGCTGGAGAGATCCCCTCTGTTGCTCTGCCCCGAGCAGCAGCCCGCAGTGACCTGAGGACAGAGACCTACGCCTTTCACCAGGCGTCCCCAATACGCTGGGTGTGAAGGGGCTGAGCCCACCGAGCGCTGCAGAGCCTGGCACACAAATCCCTCCCTGACAGCGGACAGCCAGGACAGAGGATGGCACGCTCACACCCCAGAAGAGAAGAAGGAGCTGGGCTTGGCGCGGCTCCCCTGCGCAGTGCTCCCCCGGCCCGCTGTGCTGTGGCTCCTTCGTCTCTCCCAGGCTGTTGGGTGATTCTTGCTGCTCGCCCTTGGCTGGGGTCATTTCAGACAAGCCGGGATGCAGGAGAACGTCCTCTTCACCCGCAGCAGGAAGGGAGTCGTGCTTCTGATGTCTCTGGCTCTTGGGACCAGCCCTTGCAGAGCTCCCTCCGTCCTGGACGGTCCGCCTCTCCCCGCTGGCAGCAAGGCCTTTATTTCTTCCTCGTCGTTGAAAGGGGATGTCCCATACCTCTGCTTCAGGTGCCTGCGGACCTGGGGAAGGAGGGAGAAGCAAACTAAGGTGCCTGTTTCCAAGGGCAGGTCCAAGCCTGCCAGCAAGGGGAGCAGGGAAGCAACCTGGTCCCCTGGGGACTCGTCCTTGCTCTGAGACCCATGGGCAGGCTCAGCTGTGGAGCAGAGCATGGGTGGCAGAGGCTGGTCCCACCTTGCGGGCTGAGCCACCACCAAACTCAGCCAGCTGCTGCCTGAAGCCGGGGTTGGGGTTGGCGACGGGCCGGACAGTTCGGACGGCCTCCAGCACCTCCTGGCAGCTCAGCTCCGTGACGGCCATGACGTAGGCGACAACCACGGTGGTACTGCGGGAGATGCCGGCAAGGCTGGCAAGGGAAAGGGCAGAAGGGCCGCTGTCAGCGGCGCACCCTGACCCCACGCTCGCCCCTTCCTCCACCCCTGTGCTACAGCTATTTCGGTTCCTCTTCTCCAAGAACTTGCTCTCTGGGACGCCTGAGCCCTTCCAAGTGCCTCTCCATCAGTGCCTATAAATACCCGCTCCTCCCCGGGGAAGTGAGAGCAGCGGCCGCTGCCTGGCTGCCTGCCCCAAACCCCGCTCTTCCCTCTTGCTCAGCTGCAGCAAGAAGCTGCCCCATCTCCAGGGCTGCCTGGATCCTGCTGGGTTTGAGTCACAAGCCACAGCCGAGGGTAGACCCTGGGTGGATCCGTGGGCACGGAGCCCTCTGGCACAGGCTGGCTTTGATCAGGGGTCTGCAGCCAAAGCGGGGGGCTGGGGGCTGGATCTTCTCTTCTCTGCTGTGCTGGGGGGACATGGCATCAGGCGGGGACAGAAGTGTTACCAGTGGACGAGGCAGTTCCCTCCGTGCAGGCGACACTGGTGGATAAAACTGATGCATTCCTTGAAGTGCCTCTTGCTAGCAGGAAAAATAAACCAGACAGAATAAGGACTTCAGGGGTGGAACAGGATTTTTAGGCTGCAGACAGAGCAGCCCTGCGCATTTGAGGATGAAGCACTAACATAAACTGCCTGTTGCTTTACAAGCACTGCCGGCAGCTGCTGAGACCCGAGCAGCTCAGTGCTGTTGTTTCCCAAGGGAAGGTGCACGGGCCAGCTCACGCCGTGCTGGGGACGGGAGCGGGTGCTGCTCTGCGGCTGTGCTGGGGATGTGTGGGGCTGCCCTGGGACTCCTGTGACTTGTGCTGGGGCAGTGGGAGCTTAGCTGCTCGTGCCTCCAGCCACGCCAGCGCCCTCAGCTGCCTGCACACGCTTTACTTGCTCTCCCCGCCTCCAGGCACCTCCCGGGGGGATGCTTGCTGCTCCTCTCCATTGGTGCTGCAGAGGGGCTGCCCCTCGCCTCACCCCAGGGCCGGGACTCACTCCCCAGTGGTTACTGAGCCGGGATGCTGTTGGGGTCCAGAGGTGGTCCCCAGCACCGGGGCATCATGCCTCCAGCCTGCAGGTCGCTGCACTTGAGGAGTTGGAGGCAGCACCTCAAGGGCTCGGGGTGCCGTGAGCCCTCATCGCCCTGCAGAGCCCAGACCTCCCGCACGCCCTGAGCCGGCCCCGGCCTTCCCGGGGTACTCACATGTTGGCCTCGGGGGTGTCAGGCAGGGGTATGCGGAGGTAGGTAATGTCCTGGAAGACACAAAAGGAAGAGGAGAAACTCGGGCGCTGTGGTTGGGGTGTCACGCATGCTTGCAGCCGGTCTGGCAGCGCCTTTGCTCCTCGCCCCAGTGCTGCCTGCGGGGCTTCGCTCCCCCAACACAGCATCCCCCTGCCTGGGGATGGGGCCGCTCTCTCCCTTGGCAGGGGAAGGGCAGTGGGGGACAGGCAGCTCATGGGAGGGGGTGGGAAACAAGATGAGGCTGGAGAGCTGGAAATAGTTTCCCGTCAGCGTTCAAGGCCAGGTTATAGTCACAAGATGGCCAGTTTCCTATGCCGGGGGGGGCTGCCCAGCTCCTCTGGGACCACTGACCGGGGAGAGGGGAGAGGTGTACGTGCCGTGGGATGCTCAGAGGGGGAAGGAAGATGCTGCAAGCATGGAAGGAGCTGCAGAGATCTACATGGTGGCGTCGGGTGCAGGACCCTACCTGCAGCAAGGGCTGGGGAGATTCATGGATCGAAATGATGTGGGTGATCTTGTTCCGGCTTAGCTGCTCCAGGTCTTTGGCATCTACAGGATAAAACTAGATATTAGCATGTATTCGTTTCTTACCTTTCTCTTCCTACAAGCGCATCTGCCGTGCTCCTGCAGACAGACAGCACGCAAAGCCTTGCTCCAGAGGATCGGCTGCATCACAACCCCCGCGTGCAGTGGCACAGACGCGGGCAAATATGCAACGCACCCTGGAAACCTGGAACGCAAACCCTGTGATACCAAACCAGAGACCTCCTCCCTGTGAAGGCACTCGGCCTTGCTGCTCATGCCGGGGTGAGCATTCACACCTGCATGGAAAAACTCCCTCCTTTGCAAGCAGGCAGCTTCCTGCCTGCCCGTACTTGTCCCCAGCTTGGGGAGGAGATGTGCGCTCTGCCTGCACCTCCCCTGTGCAAACACGTACGTAGCAATGGGACTTGCTGCAGCTTGAGGGATCTGCTTTATCTTGTGAACTATGGAAGTGGAGCTGCAGCGATTCGTATCAACCCTGAGTTTGGCTCACTCTGCCTGAGTTCCTCTTTAGCACCCGAGGGATCTGCAGAAAACACCAGAACAGCACCTTGCAGCACTCTGCGTGTATCCTCTCTGCAGTTGCATGCACAGAAATCGGGTATCCTCAGCTGTCTGGGGCAATGACCTGCTTCTCACTAATGCTTCAGCATCCCTGGCTGTGATCCTGGTCACTGGTCCAGCACAGCCATTGTTACGCTGGGAGGGGAGCATGCTCGTCTTGCTGGCATGGTTCCCTTTCATGCCACAACCGGCGGATGCTGCACGAGCTGCCGGAGAGGAGGACTAACATTTTCCCATCTCGCCACTTTGGGTTTCTCAACTTTCACGTGGTGCAAAACCTTGGCTCGGGAATCCAGACTGCAATGTGCTAACGGCATGATGTGGATTTTAATAGGAGTGAGTCTCAAGAGAGATGCTCCACAGGCGAGCCGTGCCGTGTGCGTGTGGGGAGGGAGGTGGGGACCCTCATGGGGACTTGCACAGCACCCGCCACCTTCCCACCCGCCTTGGGCAGGCAGAGTGATGGCAATTAGTGACACCAGCTTCAAGGCTTACAGCGGCTCGAAAAGCTTTCAGTTGGAGAGAATGTCTCTGTGAGCAGTCAGAGCTTAATGCAGCAGGCCTGAAATCTCTGTCGTCACCCTGGATTGCTTGGTAGAGCGATGCTCAGGTGGCATCAGGCCAAGACCCCACGTCAGTGGTCACTTGCAGGAACCCCTGCGATGAACCTGGGAGGCAGGTGCCCTTGCCCCTCTGCTCCCAGCGAGTCACAGCCCACCCTAAGGTGCTCCATGGGGTGCAGGGAGCACAGGGCAGCCCTGGCCAGGGCCGCTGCTCAGGCTCCAATGACATTTTCTTAGCAATTCACACCAGTGGTTTTAAACCTTCTCAGCACTTACAGCGGGAATCAAGCTGCCAAAAGAGCCATTAGGGAGGCAGAAGCACTAATAAATGCTGGTTTGTGATGGCAGATGCCATCACTTGGTCATGAATTGTTGTCCCCTGACAATGAAAACCCCTTAAAATAGTGAATTGGTGTGGGAAGGGGTGACTGCCTCTGGGAGAAATTCCCTCCTGAGGGTGGGCAGCCCCCTCCTGCATCTCCTGCAGCTGCGGAACTGGGGTGCATCACCCTGAGCAGCTCTGGTCCTGCTCCCTTGTGCTGGTGCGGCACCACCAGCTCCTCTGCTCCCGGCACGGGGTCCACACCAGCTCAGGAACACGGCACAGCCCACTGCGGCAGGTGAAGTTCACCCACAGGACTTGGAGGTTTTGAAAGCAAAGCCCGGCTTGCCCTGTCCTGCCCCGCGTGCCCCCGTCCCCTCCCAGCCTGCCCAGCTTGCTGCCTTGCGCAGGGGAAGCGGGATGGCTGCGAGGGCTTCCCGGTCCCAGCCGGCGGTGTCACCTCAGGGACAGGCTGCTGGGACCCTTCCTGGCGAAGCCACAGCCCCCCGTGTGTCCTGAGAGCTCAGGGCAGCCGTTAAATAAGGAAACCAAAATGAAGGCAGAGGGTTTCTGCCTTGCGTTTCCCCCTGGTGCCTCCGCTCTCGCTGCTGCCAACACAAACCGAGTGGCAGAGCGGAGTGTGTGGTGGGCGCTGGCAGGGGGTCGGGCAGCATTTGCAGGCAGGGAGCCATGAACTCAAGCAAGCCCAGCTCCCCGGCTGGAGGGCGTCTCTGCGGCGGCGGGGCTCCGCTTACCAATGAAGTTCCCAAGGTAGAGGCCGGGGAGGATCTGCGGAACACAAGAAGTGGCAGCGTGAGAAGTGACCTTGTGCTGTGGTGCCCGCCCGCCGGGACCCCCCGTGGGAAGCAGCGACTTCGGCCGGAAAGGCCAAAGTTCTGCCATTAACGTGACCATCACCAGCCCCGCAGCCCCGGGGCTGGAGCGGTGCCGGTGCAGCTGACTGCGGGCGCTCCTGGGGCTGCCGCTGCTCTGGCATCCAGCACGCGGAGCTGGATGCAGCCCTGGCACCCCAACCTGCGCAACCGCCTGGCGCTGCACCCTCGCGGGCGCTGGGAGTCACCCACAGCTTTTTTATTGCTCCTCTTGCTTATTATCGATAAATTCTTTGTTGGAGCTTTTTATCTGAGCTCAGCAAGCTGCATACGCCTCCATACAGCCTTGGACTATACCCGTGGCCTGCGGAAGTCCTGCTGTCCGAGGGACGGGGAAGCAACAGGCATGGAGAAGCCTGGGGGGATGTGGTGGTCCCCCCACCAGCCCCAAGCTCTGCTCCCCTCACCCTGCACTGCAGGGAGCCCGTTTCTTACAGCCCAGGAACAGATCGCTCTGGACACCGTGTCTTCATCTTATTTTCCTTGTGAAATTCCACTTTTCATGATGAGAAGATAATTACTTGACAACACCTCTGTTAATTGCACTGCGGATGCAAAGTGGGATACCTTGCATCCCTTCTTAGCTGGAGCTATTTTATATTTTCCCTTTCTCCCAGCCTGGGCAGCGAGGCTCCCTGGGCTGTTCACTCCCACGTCCAGCCAGTTCCCCTCCAAATTGTCCCTGCTGCGATGTTTGGTGCCCAGGACCTGGGCAGGCAGAGGTGATCTCTACCAGCACAGCTGGGCTCGCCCTTATCTCACTGCCCATGTTTTGAAACATTTCTCTTGGTCAAACAGCTTAAAGAGGGTTTTTTTTATGACTCCTAAGATTCTAGATCGATTTTCTATCGACAGGGCGCCTTTAACTTGCAGCTGCAGCACTGAAATGAGCTGGTAGGAAAGCGTCAGTTAGCAAGGGCAGCTCCCAAGGGCAGGACACCGAGCCACAAATAGCGGCACGTTCCCGTCCCCAGCACCCTTCTGACCCACTCCTCGCTGGAGAAAACGGGGCAGTACAGCCCCGTCTGCAGCACTGGGCACTTCCCCAGATAACGAGCGGTTATGGGGCTGGGGAAGGGTGTTTAAAGCTGAGGAGCTGGAGATTCTTGCAGGAAAAAGGTGTCTCTGTTCACCTGTGACAAGGGGAAGCTCAAACGACCATAAATAGTGCCCATCCCCTCTGCCCAGTGATGCTGAGCCCCACGCACAGCCCGGCCCTGCTGAGCAGGGGGTGCAGGACCGCTGGGCTCGGGGTCACACAGGGCTCCCGGTGTGTGCTCAGGAGCTGGTGCCTTGATTTTACAGGTGTTGGAAAGGGTTCCCCCCCTCCCTCAGAGGAGCTCGCTGTCACCCCCGCCCTCCACACCCCCCAGGCGGCTGTGGGGACGAGACGGCTGCGGGCTGGCGCAGCGTCCCTGCCTGCTTCTCCTCCAATTTCACTCCGCCAGCAAGTAAACAAGCTGCCCGACAGCCGAGCCCTGTGCCGGATCCAGTGCCGGCAGGTGAAACGGCACTTGGCACGGCAGAGCGAGCCGCCAGGCAAACCTCTCCCACCTCCAGCGCCGGGACAAGCCGCCCTGGCATGGCCGGCCCTGCAGAGCAGCCGCCCCAGTGCTCCCCGTTACCTGGCTCATGCCGTTTCCCATGGCCGGCAGCGGGCGCCGCGGGGGGGACGGGGAGCGGGTGTCCTTGTCCCCAATGCTGCCGTCCTCCCCGTCCCCAGGCGCAGCTGCCGTCCCCGCTCCGCACGCTCCCCGGTTAGGTTTCCGTCATGAAGAGCCCAGCTCCTCCGGGATCGCTGCCCGTGGCAGGCAGGCTCGTCCCCAGTGCGGCAAGGCCGAGCTGGCGGTGGCTGTGCCGGGGCAGAGGGGACCTTGGCTGCCGTCCTCCGTGGCTCCTGCCGAGGCCCTTCCCCGGCTACTGCTCTCGCCGGGAGCAGACAAAGGAGGAGAAACTCCCCCTCTGCGCCGTGGCGTGGGAGCGCAGGGGCCGCGCTGGCTGCTGCCTGTCGCCGCTGCTCACCGCGGCCGCACAAGGCTGCAGTGTTGGGAAAAGAACAAAACCTTTGTCCCGCTCCATCAAGGAAGGTCTGTGCAGCCACGCAGTGAAGCGCCCGGCGGCATGCCCACCCCTGCCTGCGCCGTGCCCCCCCCTGCCAGCG